AGTAATTTGACTTCTATAACAATCTGATGATATAAACTGGAAAGATCGGGGACTGGAGAGATGGCTCAGCAGTTAAGAGCACTGGCTGCTCTTGCAGAGGACCTGTCCAAATTAGATCTTTACTAAATTCCTGATGAGTAAAATTATTGAAAGTCTTTTCATTGTTTTTTCAAAAATATTTTATTTGTTATGTTTATTTTATGTGTATGAGTGTGTTGCCTCCATATAAATACACCCATGTCATGCAATGCCTGTGGAGGTCAGAAAAGGATGTTGGAGTCCGTGGAACTAGTTATAGATGGTTATTGGCTGCTATGTGGGTGCTGGGAATCGAACCCAAGTCCTCTGCAAGAGCGGCCAGTGCTCTTAACTGGTGAGCCATCTCTCTAGCTCCCCAACTGTAACAACTTTAACCATACACAGCACTGCCTAGTGCCTCAGGAAGAAGGGAACCCTCGTCCTCTGTTTTCACAGCCACAGTAGCAGCTTAGATGGCTGCCAGAGTCTATCTCTTGCATCTGAGCCCTGAAATCTTCATTTTCTTTGGTCTCAGTTATGTCTTTATAATTCATTTTAGAGAAATATTTATATTACTTGCCCTGTCTATAGCTAGAGCATTTCACGATATTGTCAGAACATGGAATTCTTGTTATCTGCTTTCCAAGAACAGTTATGCAAATTAGATTTACACTGAAATATTTTTGTGATTTAATTGGAAAGAAAGATCACAACAAAGGTGGAAAAAAGCCCAAAATAAAAATGTTGTATCAAAATGTAATAATGAAAAATCAATAATTTGGGGTTAGAGAGATGGCTCGGTAGTTAAGAATGTGTATTGTTCTTTCAGAAGACGCTAGTTCGGTTCCCAGCACCCACATCAGGGTGGCTCACAATCACTTGCAACCCCAGGGACTGGGGATCTTACGTCCACCTCTGGCCTCCATGAATACCGTACTCATATTCACCCATACACATAAACAAAATAACAAAAATATATCTTTGAAAAGAAATAATCAATTGAGTTTTTGAATTATTTAGAAGTAACAAAAAGACTTATCTGTGACTGAAAAGGATTCTGCTGAAATTCCTTGTTCTGCCTCTTTGGGTCGTTTCCAGTGGTTTCAGGCTCAGTACTCTTTTTGATGCTGCAGTTCTGTAAGTCTGCTGATAGTTCAAGTGATAGTCCAGTTCTGATTCTAACTTTAACCTATCAGCCATTGTTTTTTGTAATTACCACTACTGTGGTGCTGATCAGGTAAGTAGAGCTGATTCATAAAACGTAAATTGGTCAAGACTCTAAGAATAGCAGGGCAATTTTTTTTTTTTTTGGCAAGGTTATTCTGAGTATTCACAATAAAAAAGTATCCTTTGAACTAGAACTCCAATTATTTTGAGTTTAAAGATAAAGTACATAGTGTTTGAAGATAATGACAATTTTTACTTTTAGTTAGCACACTCATCTTTATTGCTAGATTTTATTAAGGGAAGTAATAATATAAATATAATGAGCAATCATATTTTATCTCATTGTTAATGTCTTCACAAAGCATTTTACTGATTAGACTGTGTTAATTGCTAATTAGTTCCTGCATTATACACGTATTTTTTAAAAGCCAAAGAAGTCTGTCATAGTTGTCATTGTGTCTCATGGCTTTTGCAAAGGACAGTGAGATTTTTTTTTTATAGAAGCCTTTCTGTTCTGTCTTTTAAAAATGATACACAGGGCTAGGGATTTGGTAGCTCAGTTGGTGGAAAGCTTGCCTAGCAGGCAGGAGGCCCTCCTGCTGTTTGAAACCCTGTGTGGTGGTGCATGCCTGTAATCACAGCACTTGGGAGCTGAAGGCAGGAGGATCAAGGCCACCCTCGACCAAACGGGGCTACATTAGGTCTTGTCTCAAACAAATAAATAAAGATGATACACAATTATCTGCCAATAAAATATTCTTTTAAATGATTGAAAATATGGTTTGTCAAGTCCAAGTGCCTGCTATTTCTCCTCTTTGGTTGATAATCATCTTCCAGCCTCACTGCTCATCTGGAGAAAGCTCAGACAGTGCATGCTGATGGTATGGGATGCTATTCCAGCTTACTGTGGTTAAGCAGTGGATCACTGGTTTTTAAATCCAGTAACTGCGGTCACAAGCATTAGTTTGTCCTCAGGGTTTGAAAAACATGGCTTCTTAAAGGGTCCCTGTTCTTGCTTTCACCTTAGCTGGCATGTTCTAGAATGCAGAGAAGAAGGGGAGGTTGGCTTGTGCTTGTTCTGTTCAGCGTGCTTCTCTCCATACTGTTTGATGGAATCTACTCCCTCAGAGACTGGCTTATTTGTAAAGGCTTCCACAAAAGGACAGGTGTAACAATTGTGGGACTCAATTGCATCATTTTAGATAATCCCCGCAGGTATTTATTGGGTGACTAATACGTAAGTTAATGTTTAGCATTAGAAAGACTGAACTACTATTTAAGGTCACACTGTTGATATGTAGTGTGACTTACAGTTGAGCTTCAATTAAAAAAACATAGAAATATGCTTTTAACTGTCACAAAAATAGGTGTGCCTGCTGTTCTCAGACCTACTGTAGTTCCTTCTACCTATTGGTATTTGGCAAATGTTTGTTGAATGAATAAAAAGGACTGGGTGAGCAGGAATACAGACATCCTTCTGTTAATGTAATTGTGTTTTCCATTGTCATATCATCAGGGAAGAAGAAGAATTTTTTAATTCTTTCTTTGTTAAGTTGTATGTTGTTAACTTTGTACTTGTCAGTTTACTTTGCAACCTAGTTTTTATGTTCATTTAAATTTTTTTCTCTAGCTAATTGCTCTGCCATTAGAGTAATCTGTCATGGATATTAGAGTTTTGATTAAGCTTTTGGAGTTAAAAGCTGGGTTTCCCACAAGCATTACAATTTAAATGGAATTCTGTGTTAGCTTGTTCTTTTAATTAAAGTCTTTGTTAAACAGGTTGTGCATAAATAGTAAAGAAGACTGACTTTTAAAATATGCAATATTAAGAAAAGCAAAAAGAAATGTGTTTAAGACTGGGATACAGTTAGATTTCTTTTCTTCAGTATGAATTAGTAGCTGACCAGTTACTGATGAGCATCATGCCATATCCTGCTTTGCTCCCATGCCTGAGTAGAAAGCATCTGAAAAGTGTTCCAGAGTTACTGTTTCTCAGGCCCAAAGATCATTCTGAGTGTCTATAGTGTGCTGGCTTTGGAGCTTGTGGGAAATTCGGTAGATGGTAGGTGGTCCATCATAGGTTGACTTCCCTGGCCAGTGAACCCTGGCTATTTTTATATATACTGGAGGTGTGGGTGAAGCTCCATTTGTGTTTCTAAAAATTTCCCTTTTCTACTCTTTTTTTCCTTCCTCTATTATAAGAAGGAAAATCTGTAACATTTTAAAATTCATAGATTCAGACACTGGAGAGATGGCTCAATGGGAAAAGTGAGTTCTGGACCAGCATGAGGACTTGAGTTAGATTTCCAGCACCTGTATAGAAACCTGGGCATTGCAGCACACTTATGGAACATCAGCTCTGCTGCGTGGAGACAGGCAGATCCTGGGGACTCACTGACCAGCCAGTCTTGCCCCAGACAGTGAACTCCAGGTTCAGTGAGAGACCCCTGTCTCAAAAAGCAAGGTGGAGGGTGTTGCACTAAATTTTCCCTTCACCCTCCCTGGGGGATCCATGCACCCTCAGAGTACTCTAGGGTCTCCCAGTCCTGATGTGGACTGACAAAACTGACATGATACATTCTATTTGGGTTTTAGCATGGTTTATATGATGTCCACAAAAGGGTGACTTACAAAGGCATAAACTCTCATAGTCCATCTTCTGCATTTTGACCAAGCTTTGGGATCAGCACCGCCAATGCTACTTGGCTTCTCCCCTGCAGTTCATGACTCTATTCCCTGTACCCAATATGGCAACAGCTCCACCCCTTTTTCCAGGGTGCTCCGTGTTTCTAAACATCATTCTCTAGACCCATGCCCAATCAGTTCTAGCTTTTTGGAGGAACTTCCAGGTTACAGAGGGCAATGGAGGAAGACAGCTCAAGTTGACCTCTGGCCTCCACACCCATATATGCATACATTTGTATTCTGCACATACAAACACCAAAATAAAAATAAGGCACAATTCCTAGTTTTGATGCAAATCTCATTTTTTCTCTTATTTTTCAGTTAGCAGGTTTTCTGCCAGCCTTCTTTGAAGCCTGGTCTGTGTTATTTTCTTTCTCACTGCATGGGAAGCCTTGGCCTCTCCTGGTGTCTGCCTTTCTGAGAGGAGTCACATGGACTTCTTAAGTATAACCATTGTGACTGAAAACTGTGCTTCCCCCCACTAATAACTCTATGAAGATACCAAATGTGTGGATGAACTTGCACTGAGGGACACTAACTTGACTAGATAGATCTTAACATGTATGACAAAATACATAAAATATGGTGGGGTGAACCATGGAGGGTATAAATGAGGGAGAGGGTATAAAGATGATTAAGATATTTTGTATGAAATACACAAAAATTCAACAAAAAATACATTTAAAAAACTATGAATTCAATCAGTCCCTAAAATAATTCAGGTTTTCAGGATGGAAAGTGAAACATGTGAATAGTATTTGAGCTTCACACAGCCATGGTGTGCCCTTCACTAGGCTCTCGGAGTATTTAATCAATGAGCAAATCTGTTTGTGTTCTTCTCCAGACTGCATATCCTGGATTTCTTTTCTCATAGGGTTTATTTCCTTATTCTTATTCTGAAGCATCACTTAATTTTCTCTGCATTATAGAAGCTCTTATACCATTAAGAAGGAAAGAGCACTGAATTCAGTGGGGATATTATCTCTTGTGGCTTTGCAGTTCTACGGACCAGCATGGAGTGTGCTAGGATTCTGAACCGAAATGTAATCATTTTCTTTTTCTGTCCCCTTCCTCCCGTTTTGCCACTCCTCCCTTCCCCATTCTATTCCTGGTTCTCTCCTTCCCTGTAGGGTCCCCGTGGTCCTGAGGGAGCTCCAGGAGAAAGGGGCTTACCTGGAGAAGGAGTTCCAGGGCCAAAGGTAACAACAGCTCCTGAACCAGAAAAATGTTTTCTTGCATGGCCATGGATTCCAGATGGTTAGACACCAATTGTCTTCATGACCATTTTCACCCCATTAAGTGAAGGAGTATGCAAAATTTCCCTTAACATAAAAGCACAGGAGCATGAAATTTTTAATTATAAAATAAGTAATCACTAGACTTCCATTTCATCTAATTACCATACCTTAATTAGAAAATTTTCTTAGTTTGTAGACACTAAAGCTATAGTGATAAATACTTATTTTTGGCCAGAAGTTAAGTTACTGAGTGTAGCTATGGCAACCTTTGCTTACAGCTTTGTTTTACAAAACACAGGTAAAAAACAGAGCCAAATACATTGATTTTTAATAGTATTGCCACCAATATCTTTAAAAAGGCAACTTTGTCATAAGAAACACAATGTTCTGGGAGACCTGCCTTTGACCTGGAGATTAAGAATTCATTTTGCCTTCTGCTTCCCAAAGCCATTGTCAGAGGTCAAGTTCCTCTGCCAGTTGGGTTGGCAAGCTCTCTATAAAGGCTCTATAAGTCATGGGATAGCCATTGCAACGACTCCACTTTGTTGTAGTTTGAAAATACCCATAAACAATGTGTGAATGAGGGCATGTGACTGTTCTAGCAAGATCATGATAACAGAAGTAGGCAGTGGGGTCTGGCCGGTGGATGGTAGTTGGTCAAGCAGCCAAACTTCACTCTACACTACATCTGCCAAAGGTCACATAAGAAATGATTTTCTGGAGTACTCAGGCACTGTCAACAAAATTACAGAATAAGATGTATTTCAAGTTCTTTACTCCTTTTTTTTTTTGGTCTTTTTGAGACAAGGTCTCCCTGTAGCCCAGCTGTCCTGAAACTTACTATGTAGACCAGGCTGGCCTTGAACTCACAGAGATCTGCCAGCCTCTGCCTCCCAAGTGCTGGGATTAAAGGCATGCACCACCATGCCTGGCTCTCATTTCTTAAATCTTTCTCAGAAATATACATGTTCAGGCACTCACACAGTCCTGAAAGTCACACGCTGCTCTCTAAGTGTCGAAGATCCTCTGCAAGAGTCATTCTGCGGGTCCCTAAGCCCTGAGCTTCCCAGTATGGCCTCTTACTCTAAGCATCTCATTCTTATACTTTCCTCTCATGTTCAACATTCAATACCTTTGAGAACCCCACATTTCAAGAGGGGAAAGCATTATCTTTAGCATTTCACACTAAATTGTGAGTGACTGCTGGGTTGAATCTTAAAATTAGCCCTTGTTAACAGATAAAATTTGTTATAATGGAAATAATATATCAGATAAGCATAATATTGTGAATGCCTTTGACTAACCAAAGAATCACTCTTGAGATCAACAGTTTATTACTGTATTTCAAAAGTTTAATATGTAGTTTATTGAATTTTTTTGGCACCTGGTAAACTTTTATTTATGTCTAGTAAAAACAATCTGAAAATTCAAATAGAATTATTTCTCTTTATAATCTGTGTTAAAGTTTTAAAAATGGAAAGAAATGATTATGTTAAACACTAGACAGTATATTCTAGGGCATGGGCATGTCTTATTGACATGTTTAACATATCCTTAAATTGTATTTAAAGACGACACAATAACACACTCTGGTACACAATAACCTGTGGGCACTGTATTGGCCACTGTATCATCAAAGGACACACAGAGTATATTCAACATTGCTTTAGGGTCAAGTATGCATGAGTGCATTCTGGGTAGTGATTAGACATCATTCTCTCACCAGGCAGACCCATGAGAGTTTTCTGCAGATACCTAGTTTGCAATAATGTAGGAAATAAGCAATTAAAATATGGTGATCTAGGTTCATTTCTGTCGCTGTGATAAAATATCCTGACAAAAGCAACTTAGGAGAGGGCTTATTTTAGCTCACAGTTTTGGGTGCCAGTCCAGTTCATCATTGCAAGGAAGTCACAGCAGCAAGAACTTGAGACAGCTGATCACATCACATCCACAGTCAAGAGCAGAAAGAGAAATAATTCATGCTCGCTTACTTGCTTGCTTGTGTTCAGTTTGATTTCTCTACCTGTATACAGTTCAGGATCCCCTCCTCACAGTGGGCTAGATCTTCCCACATCAATGAACATAATTAAGACAATCCCACAGATTGCCCACAGGCAAACCTAAGGTAGACAATCACTTATTGAGACTCTCTTCCCTAGACTGGGTCAAGTTGACAATTACAGTTAACTATCACATACAGCTGTGGAGAAGACTCTAGTTATAGTTTCCCATTTCTTAGGAAACATTCTGTTTTATTCTTGGTACTAATAAATTCACTAACTGAATGCCACTTTGGACTTATTCACATGACTTATTTTTCCTACAAAGGCATAAAGTATTAAGACTTCATGGTTAGTACATTGAGGGCAGAGCTAGCCACCATTCATATAGGCCATATGATTATGGTAGCCTATACAGATTTTCCAGATCCTTCTAAAGTTAAATTTTCAGTGGCTGTTTATAAATTCAGGTCCAAAACATTGAGTAGGTATAAATAATTCCTAGCAAGTATTAGTTCATAGGAGAGACAAATCTTCCTTATATCATGAATCCAGTTTCATCAACATTAAGGAACAGAGCCTTGCTATGATTAGTCACACTGACTGATCCCCTCCTCAGATTGGAATTTAGCTCTTTCAGACTTGAATGGTACTACATAATTGTTCCTCTTGGATAGACTCCTCCTTGTTTAAACGTTGTGACTAATATTTTTTAATTTGCAAATTAGAGTTAGAATTACTCATTTGTAGTGATGGTGAATTTGGATGCTTGATTTAAAAATCATTTTGAAGCATAATTCTTAGTAACTATAATGTAAACTCTCTTAAAAGTCTTATTTTTCTTTGTGCACTGATATCGTTCCCATTTACATTTAGGGTGAAAAGGGCTCTGAAGGACCAACTGGCCCACAAGGACTACAAGGCCTGTCAATCAAAGGGGATAAGGTACTGTATATAAAGTACATAATGGAAACAATGCTATTATAATGTAAAATTTTTGTCATTGTTCTTTATGTGTATTTTGAACTGCATGTAACATGACAACCATCTCACACAGGTATCCAAATGATTATAAACTAGTAAGAGAGAGTAGTATTATTCTCAGGATGAATTATGATATGGGAATTCATATTATTTATATTTTGAGTAATGTCTCATTATTCAGGTTCTAACTTTCTGTGCATTTTACCACCAACAATGTGTATTTGAAAACAGGTGTTAGCAAAAGACATTTCTTAGTTAAAAAGGTGTTAAAATATATTGACTGGAACCCATTACAGAACTATATCTATCCTTAGGCTCTTACTAAAAAACAATACCTTAAAATGGGATTTGAGTAAGGGAGCTCATTTAAGAAAACGAGCATTGTTGCCCTCCAGCCAGGATCATCAGGAGTCTGCCTACTGTTGGGCAAAGGCTATTGACTCATTACAGTGATGGAGACCCATGCTAAGCGAAAGTCAACAGCAGCTCAGGACAAGGATGTAAGATGAAGTTTTCCATAGGCTTTGTCTTGTGTTAAGTGGTTTGGGGCAGTGTTCATGAAAACACAAGTTGACCTTGGATTAACTTTAAGTTAGATGCTCTCAGGGACTGGAGACGATTTTAAGGTTGAGTATTTGAATGAGTCTTCTCTAGAAGCAGTGGAAAAACTCGAGCCTGGATAAGTTATAATTGGTAAAAAAGTAGAAGCAACTAATTTTAGCCAATATAGGGGGATGTCTGACTGTGGCAATTCTAAGCAACATTAACAGTTGCACCCGAGTAAAGAAACAACCTGACTCTTAGAATTAGTTTTAAGACCAAGGGTTGATCCAAACTCTGAGAACCAACCGTTCTTTCAGATGTCTCACATCACTGTAACTGTGCTCTTGAGTTAAGCTTCACTCATTCATTTTTTTGTTTTGTTTTTTAATCTTTTTTGAGACAGGGTCTTCCTGTACATGCCTACATTGATTCACTGTCTTGGGTGGAGGGCAAAGTGGGGTCCTAGGGATTAAGGTCAGATGTCCAGGTCACAAGTCAAGCACACGGCTCAGCAAGCTTGTTTACATTATAAACAGTAACTTTTTGGTTACAAGATTAGGTAGAAGTCTTACCCACATACAACACAACCATTGTTGTGAGTTCATTGCATTAACATTTGCAAGTGTTACTGTGACTTGGCATTTATGTTTTCACATCTGGAGTTCATGCAAAGAAAACTTTGAAATATGAGGACATTATCATATAGCAGAGCTTTTATTTGCTGTTCCCTTACAAAAGCAACATTTTCCCCTCTCTCATTACCCACATTTCTTCCTTTCTTACTGTTTTATGTAAAACACAAGGTTTAAAAACTTTGGCGTGTGAGTCAAGTGATAAGGTAAACACCCCTATGCTCAAGGGCTCACAAATACGTATAATTATTATAAAACAAAGAAACATTTATGGCACAGAGACTCATTACTCATTTACTCATTTCTTTAAACATTTTTAATTTTATCCATAGTACTGGTAATCTAAAGATATTTTCATGTAAGTTTATGTTGTATGTTGAACATATCCCCCCATACTCTCCTGCTTCCCCTCCCACTAGTACCCTTTGTTACCCTAGTTTTGCTTCTACTTTCAAGTTATAATACAAACATGATTTTGTGTATCATATAAAATCTATGAGCAGGACAAAGCTATTTGACTTTCCAAGACTGGCTAGTTATTGTAATAGGATTACCTCCATTTAAAAATATTCATTTGTTTGTTTACTATTTATTGCGTGTGGAAGTTAGAGGACAACTTTGTGGAGTAATTTCTCTCCTTCTACCTTTACATGGGTTCTGAGGATCAAACTCAGGTCACCAGGCTTGTGTTGCAAGTGTCTTTAGCCACTGAGCCATCTTGCCCAGCACAATTGCATCCATTTAAAAAAAATGGTGTAATTTCATTCTTCTTATGCCTGAAAATGTTCCATTGAGTATATATACCACATTTTCTTTAACCATTTCTCTGGTAATGAACATCTAGGTTGTTTTTATAAGAACTGTTGTGAAGAGTGTTATAGCAAACTAGTGATGGGACAGATAGTTAATCATAATTAACAGTGTATGGGGGGATCTTTGTTATGTGTTTACTGAATATTTACAGATTAGTGGTTCTGAGTTGGGTTCTGGAGTCAGCAGACTTGAAATTCACTTCTGTCTTCAAACAGTTATGGGACATGGAGTGAATTCTTTAAGGTCACCTGGGAAGTCGAGACACAGCTGCAAGTTACAGGAGGACTGAATGAGACAAAGCATGGAAAGCATTTAGTTCAGGGACTCCTGCGGAATAAGAAATCAAGTTCTAAATCAGAGCAATCTATCTCTGAATCAAAACTGGACTAAATTTTATTCTAGGGCGTGTCTTGGCACAAGCTTTAATATATTTTAATTTCATAAAAATTATGATCCAATTATATGCTTTTGGTAATAAAAACATTTGGCCTGAGCTGTCCACCTGTTTTTTTTTTAAAACAAAATGTCATTGTACACAACACACATGCTCATTTACCTGTCCCTATGGCTGTTTTCATATGACCAAAGCAGCATCTGTCGGTTATAAAACAGACCTTATTCTGGCCCTGAAGCAAAAAGATTCCTTATCCAATCTTTTAAGAAAAACTTTGCTAGTTGGGCATAGTGATACACGCCTGAAATCCCTACACTACTCTGGCAGCTGAGGCAGGAGGATCAGAGGTTCAAGGACTGACTGAATTACAGAATAAGTTCAAGGTCAACCTGAGCTACCTAGAAAGACTCTGTCAAAAGAAAAGGTAAAAGGAAGGATGTATCTCAATAATAAAAAGTTTAATATCTGACATGTAGAAGGCCTTGAGTTCAATTCTCAGGCCCCTGCTAAAAATGTTTGCTCACCCTGACGTAGTCTAAATGTAATTGTCATTGAAATAAATAAGCATGCCTGTCCATGCTGCTCAATCTGGTGGTCAGTTTTCAGTGGTCAACATACTTGACATGACAGTCGCATTTCCTGATCCTTCACCTTTTCAAACCCTCTCTTTTCTTGGTCTCCCTGGCTACTCGGTCCACCTTGCTAGCTGTTCCATTTCTTGTACCCCTAAAGATTGAAGTTCTTGAAGGACTCACCTCTGACTTTCTCTGTCTCTAGGCAAAGTCACTCAAACAGGGCATTAGACATTATCATTATTTTGGGGGCTGTCAAATTGATATCCCCAGCCCAGACTGCTCTCATTTAATGTCATCTCTTGGATATCAGTTTTAGGCCTCTCAAACTGAACACATGCAGAACTGAGCTCCTGATAGCACTCCTAGCTCCAACCATGCTTCTACTTGGGCTTCTCTTTCTCAGCAAGTGATAACTCTATTCTTCCAAGACCCTTAGAGAAATCCCAGAGTTCTCTCAATCTGTAGCAATTTCTGTTAGCTCTACCTTCAGAATGAACTCAGGACCTGATCATTCTCTACCACCTCTGTTACCAACCTCTTGGCCCACTGGTATTCTCTCTCACAGAGTCCTTCCTTCCGTGCACCTAATCTTTCAGACAGCCTGAAATATGTAGCCAGGTCCTTGACTCTTCTGCATGAAACCCACTTCTCCTTTCTGTTTCACTCAAAAGGGAGTCATTGTCCTTATTTATCATGTCACAGTTTCTGTTGATCCTTCTGCCTGGCTTACTGCCATACATCTCTGACGTTATTATCGGCTGGCATTATCCTTGTTGACAGGCACCCCACCCATGCTGTCTCCATGCTTTTTCTGAATCAGGCATTAGCCTCTGTTCTGTCTAGAACCTTTCCCCCATCCCGGATTTTTTCCTGGCTCCTTCCCTTTCATTGATGGGGCCGTCCTGGCACACTCATTCAATTGCCCTGCCTTCCCTGACTAGTATTTCCCCTAAGCATTTACTGTTCAAAACAGGACTTATCAATCGTCCTGTCTTATCACCTTCTGTAAGCTCTACTGAGGGCAGAAATTTGGGGTTTTTCTGACCCCTGTTGTTTCCTTGTGTTTGGAGCAGTTCCTGACACACAATGAGCACTCAGCAGAAATTCGGAGAAAGACTGAAAGGATGAATGGTTGATACTGTTCTTCTCACAGTCTTTTTTTTTTTTTTTTTCTGTTTGTTTATTTGTTTTTAGACAAGGTCTCACTATGTAGCCCTTGCTGGCCTGAAACTTGCTATGTAGACCAAGGCTGGCCTCTGGCCTCGAACTCATGGAGATCCATCTAAATCTGCCTTTGCCTCTGCTTCCTGAGTGCTGGGATGAAAGTCATGTACCACCATACCCAGCCCTCACTGGCAACTTTGTTTTCTTGAGTTCATGGGTTTCTTGGATTTTTGTTGCCTTTAACCTTAGATCATTTCTTAGTTTTTGAAATGTTATTGGAAAAAATTTAAAATATTTTTCTTCAATTTATCTTTCAAATCCCTCTCTTCTCATACTTTGTAAATTTTATACTTTTAGATATTAACTGTGCTCTGCACAGGAGAGGTTTGTGTCTTTATAGCAACCTCAGAAAGTTTTGGTTATCAGAGAAATAGCTGTTGAATATAAAGTGATACAAATTCTAACCAGTACAGGTGAAATAGTGAATATGCCACCAACTGTTTCGGCAAATTTGAACCATAAGCCACTGAAAAGGAATGAAGACTTTGATTTTCTATGTTGTATTGGTCAGAGTTCTCTAGAGGAACAGAGCTGATGGAGTGAACACACACACACACACACACACACACACACACACACACAAAGAGAATTAAATCAGCTTACATTGAAATAACAACGGTTGTATAACAACAGTTGTCTCACTCCGGAGAGGCTGAGGACCTGGTAGGTAGCTGCTTTGTCCCTAAGGCTGGTGGGGGCCTCAGCAGTCGGAGTAGTGCCACAGAGGCTATGGAGGGGTCAGCAACCAGGCAGTTGCTCAGTCCAGAGGCTGGGTGCCTCAGCGGTCCTAATCTGGTCCTAACTCTCTCCTGGAGTTCCAGTAGAGTGGCTGATCCTCTGTCAACAATGGAAGCCTGGAAACACTGGTTCTCTTATTAGCGAAAGAATCAGAAGCAAGCTGCAGTAAGGAAACCAAACAAACAAAAAGCGAGCCTTCCTCCTTCGTATGGGCTGCCCACCTTTAGGGTTGGTCTTCAATGCAGGCAATCAGGACAGTCCCTCAGGGGATGCTTCCTACTCAGGTGATTCTAATTTGTAGTAAATTGAGGCTAAATCCAACCCCCATGCACATATTGAATTTCTTAACATGAATTAATGAAGTTTTGTTTACTGTTATATTTTGGCAGGGGGATTTGGGACCTGTGGGACCCCAAGGACCAGTGGGTATCCCAGGCATTGGAAGTCAAGGTGAGCAGGTAAGTAGTGCTTGTCCATTTTTCCTGAGCATAGAACATTTTGTTCCAGTTCTGGTATTCAGGGAAGGCCAAACTTACAAACATCCATGAGTTCAGAAAGTCCAGGGTGGATGTAAAAATATTTTCATGAGGAGATTATAATTTCAGAACTTTCAAACATTCAAGAACAAGTTATGTGTTTTTTAATGTTGTGGCTTTTCATATGAAAACCTTATTAATAGAGTACATGTTTCGGGATAACATTTTTATAATTGTAGATCCCCTTGGGAGAGCAGTAGTTTATTTACCTGATGGTTTGTGTGTGTTTTCCCTTTTATAACGATTAAATTAGTCTTTCCCAATGCCAAGAGAAAAGTGTTTCTCATCCCATAACCACTTACCTATCCAAATATAGTACTCCTATCTCACTCAAAGGAGAGCCAACATACTTGTGTAAACAAGTACCAGAATCAGAGGTGACTAGTTAATTTAAAAGACAGCCTTCCTAAATAGATGCAAACCTTGGTAGGGTTTGTATATAAAGGATTCTTGTGGTCAGAGGAAAGGAAGGATCTTTGAGAGGGTGTCTACGTCCATAGCTAGAACTGCATCCAAGATCTTCGGATACTTTGTGGAAACAGTGTGAAGATGCCCAACACTATCTATTGTTTACTCTGTGCCTTAGCTATTCAGTCTCATTTAATCCTGGACACCAGCTAGTATTTATCTTCCTGGTTAGAAAGTGGTATGTGGGTTTGACTAAATTTATGATTAAGACAAGTTATTCTGTTGCATGGAGAATGAACAGTATTTCATTGACCTAGGGTAATGAGAGAGGAAAAAAAATTAAAAATTATGTAATTCTAAACCTCATTGTTGACCATAGCTTTGGGTTTATTTCTAATGTATGTGAATTTATTATTATTATTACTACCTATTTGTTATTCCAAACAATAGTACTCCTTGTCCCACCTCCTCATCCTCAGCACAGTTCCTAGTATAATGTGGTAAGAGGATCAAGGTACTGAAAAAGCCAAGGCAGATCTATAAATTAATAGTAGATGATAATTAAGAAATACAAATTCTGATTGCTGATGACCCTTTGACTCTCAAGCTGTGTACTTGATCTGGGCTCAGTACGGCTATCTTCTGGTCCTGGAAGCACTGACTGGAAGGACTGTTTCACGCTGGGTCTTGTGGTGTGTCTGGTGCTAAGTCACAAATCTGGGACTGAAATGAAGTTCAAAGACAGACCAATCTGTCCAGATGGTCTGCAGATTCTGGACCTCCCACCTGTGACTTCCTGTTCCCTTTAATTTTGGTGCTTGATGTTTTTTGTTGTTGTTGTTTTGGTTTTTTTTAGCTTAAAAAAACCCAACAACTTTTGGACTTCTTTTGTGTTCTTATACCCTTCATTTACAAAAGAAAAACAATTTTTAAAGGTAAAATGTCTTTACATTTACAGATCTAGACCCTTAGTGGGTAGGAGAAGGAATAGAATGCATTCTTTGTAAACTTCTCTAAGTGAGAAAATTATTTATTTACTCCTTTAAGAGAAATGGTATAAATCCTACATAAGTTTAATCTATGTGGGTAGTTATCAAATTTTGCCCTTTACATTAATTTAATGTGTTTACCCATTGAGCTCTTCTGATTACCATTTCTTATATTAATTCCTTATTGAAATGAATTTTCCCACTCATCTGCTTAGGAGAGAAGTTCTGTTTCCAGAAACCTGTTTACAATGTCCTGCAGATGGTCTACAGATTTCACTAACTGTTTGGAGGTTTTCTCACCTCGTGTCTCACAGAATAAAATAGAATGTAATCACCACATGCCCACATGGGCCCGTGCTGTGATTATTTTGTGCCTTGTGTAGTTACATGCTACTTATGGACAACTGTAAAAGCCAGAGAAATTCCTCTTGGAACCTCTTTAGCTTCCCCAAGGTCTTTGGACAGTTCAGTCTCATTGACCAGAGGAAAAAGGAGTAATATTTATATTAAAAAAAAATCCACAAGCAGTTGTGTTATCTAACTGGAGAAAAAGAATGACTCTTTTTACATTTTGTTATATGCATTAATTAATAATGTAGCTTATAAATTTTATTTCACAACTATAGTTTGTGGGATGTAAGCAAACAGAATTTTATTCATTTTCTCTTGTCAAGCTTTAAAACTTTTTTTCAGCGGGGAACATGTTTTCCTTTTTTAACTACAGAAAGAAATTTCTAGTTCGCAAGAGACTTTTGGATCACTTTTAGACAATAGGAAGTTATAAGGTTGCTGCACATTTCAAATATCATATTTAATTCTGTAATAAAAAGTGGTTAAAAACAAAAATTGTCTGCTCAATATATTAATCTTTATTTTAATCTTCAATATCTGGTGCACACTGGAGGGAAGGAGGATTTTTCTTTTCTTCTAGGATAGGCAGGGAGGGGCTGGGGAGAAGAACATGGAAGTCCTTTCTTGGTCCTATGATCCTTGGTCCCATGGTCAATGACTTTGGGTAGCTGTAGCCTGGGAGACACATGCTGCTGACATCTTCCTTGTGGGACTCTTTCGTGAGCCCTCCAGGCCTCCTAGGAGGTGGATGAAGGAATCTTCCTTCAGTTGCATCTCCCATCAGCCTCTGCTTTTTCTGGGGCTTTATTCTCTCTGTTGTGGTTCTGGTGCCCTTCCAGGTCACTTGGGTAAGATTCAAGATAGTTCCCAGCCATCTCTGTTTCACATCTGGCAGACAGTCATCAACAGAAAAATATCACATGTCTTTGCTCTGAAAAACTGAGTGCACAGGCTGATTCCACAGGCCATTTTAGCTTTCTCAAGCATGAGTCAGACACCAGTTTTTGAGTCCCCTAAACCAGAAGCAAAGCATACAGTTGTTTCTCTCAAGTCCTCTTGGTAGATCAGAGTAAAGAGGAGAGCAACCAAATCCCTTCCCATTTAAAAATTTTTATTTTTATTTTTTATTTGCCTTTTTGAGACCGGGTCTCCCTGTAGCTCCAGCTAGCCTGGAACTCACTGTGTAGACCAGACTGGCTTCTATGTCACAGAGATCCACCTCCCTCTGTCTCCTGAGTGCTAGGATTAAAAGCATGTGCCTTTATGTCTGGCCCTTTAAAAAACTGTTTTAATAAATATTTATTATTTTTATTTTATATGTGTGAGTATGTGGCTTGCATGTGTATAAGTGCACTGGGTCATACAATGCTCTTGGTGGTCAGAAGAGGGCATGATTCCCTGAAACTGGAGTTAAAGATGGTTGTTAGCTGCCATGTGGATGCTGGGAAGAGAACCCAGATCCTCTGCAAGAGCAGCCAGTGCTCTTAACCTTTGAGCTATCTCTCCAGCCCCCCCACACTTCTATTTTCTACAAAGAAAAATACCTATAATCTACATAACTTTCTCCAGAAACAGTTATAAACCCTATGTCCCTCCACCCAGTTTTACCTACAATTCAACAAGGAGTCATGTGTTTGAACATGTTTCACATTGGTGTTTGTTAGCTATAGCTTTTTAGAGTCAAGATCAAACATTTAACATATCACTGAATCCATCTACAAAATAAGTCTTCCTGCATGTGACAAGAGCTGTGAATTGGGTTAACACTGTGGAATTTTACTTTTTTTTTTGAGGCAGGTTCTCCTTATAGCCCTAGCTGGAACTCCTATGTAGACCAGGCTGGCCTTGATCTCAGAGATCTTCCTGCCTCTACTTCCTATGTGCTGGGTTTTAAAGGTATGCACCACCACACCCAGTAGAATTTTACTTTTTGTATTGAAAATTATGAGGACAGTGGTTCATCAGTATCGTCCAGGGTCCAGGCATTTTCATTCTTGTTAGTCTGCCCCCTTAAGGTTTTCCCCATCCACATGATATTGGGTGTTCACATGGTGTCACTCCATCTACAAGGGAAGGAGAGAAGAGAGGATTCATGAGTGAGCCTTTCTTTAGCATGAACCAAAATTATACATATCACTCCATCCAAATCCTCCTGGCCAGAATCTAGTTAGCATGGCCACATCTGACTCTACTAAGGATGGGGAAACATGGTTTTTGTTCCAAGTATCCATCTGAGCCAGATAAAATTTATCTTACTATTGAAGAAGAGAATGCACTCAGAGTTTAAATATTAGGGGTCAACTAGAAGCCTCTGACGTTCCATTCAACAAGTATTCATGTAACATGGGTAATCTGTATGGGAAGCTAAACTTTCACTTTAGAAGACTTAAAAGTATTCTCCAAGTATGTTCTGAATTTCATTAATAACATGAAATAATTTTTTATCCTAAAGGGAATCCAAGGTCCTATTGGTCCACCTGGTCCACAAGGACCCCCAGGACAAGGCTCACCTGGTTCCAAGGTAACTTTCCAAATGAGAGCAAAGTTTAATACATATACAGTATAATGTCTTTTGGTTAATGTTCAGTATATTTGGGAGAGCATAGAGAATGAACTTAAAAACCAGAACTCTATGCCAAATAATACTGATATTAACACTTTAGAAAGTACAATGTATACTCGTCATGCTTTAAGAAGCTTTTACTTGTTCAATATTTATTTATATCTTGTTTTTATTTTTATTTTATTTCACTTGTGAGACCCTCTTCTAACAATACAACTGGCATCAGTCTAGACTGCCTGTGGTCCCTCCCTCAGAGGTTGGTGAGTGCATTCTCTCCAGCACTCCCACAGTGGGTTCAATTTCTAGAACCTTTAAGAGATAGAGATAGAAATGGCTTAATGAATAAAAATTTTCTTAAACTTTGGAATCAGATTATCTCTCAGTTGGAGCTGTTATTTATTCCTTGAGAAGAGGCATGGCATTTATTATTGAATTAGCTACTTTTCATGTTGCTTCAAGAATCACTATTCATTATTATAAATCAATAAAATGTTTCAGAAATGCTCACTTTGGAACACATTCCTGTATTAGAAACAAAAGACAGAAAAAGAGAGGCAAATAAATCTCCAGGTTTTTATTTTTATTTGTCTTTTTTTGGAGACAAGATTCATAGATTCATTGTATAGGCCAAGTTAGTTTCCAACTTAACACTCTCCCCTCCCCCCACCCCAGGCTCTGCCTCCCAAGTGCTGAGGTTGCAGGTATGTGCAGCCATGCCTGGCCCTTGAATTTTTATTTGGGGCTCATCATTGGCATCTCAGGTTCTTTTTGGCTGTGACACTACTCTTGACCAGCTGTCACCTTGGCTTCCCATGTGACTGGCTGGATGTTTTATAATGTAACTTCCTATCTTTTCTAAGTGCCTCTACAGGAACACACTATATAGCCTGTATTTTAAGTCAGACTTCTGATTAGAAATCCATGTAACTGAAGGGATCACACAAACACACACACACACACACACACACACACACACACACACAGAATCTTCTCTCACTTTGTTGATAGCTCTGAGGAGATCAAAGGCAGGAGTATATTATTTTTATCTTGCTGTAATATTCATTTTTTTTCCTTACTAGGGAGAAGTAGGCCAGATGGGACCTACAGGCCCTAGAGGACCAATGGGCGTTGGAGTACAGGGTCCAAAGGTTAGTTGACTATGCTGCTCAGATTTGATTAGGCAATTTAAATAATGTAACATAAGGTTTCCTTTATATCCAAATGCAAAATGAGTATGTATATGCCACCTAATTATATACAACTGGGTGGGCAGGGAAATTTAATTATTTGCTCAGCTTTCTTGGTATTTGTATTGGACAGGACTGTTCTAACATTCCTACTTCACTGGGGGCAGGATCTTGTTCATCTTGTTTGGTATTGGATGTCAGTTTTGACAAAATGATAGGTTCTCAAATACTGGTGAAGCAATGAATGAATCCTTGGAACAGTCTTCACAAGTTCTGTAGTTCATACCGAAGGTGTGTGGGTCTGGTGAGCCTGGCTGAGCACTAAACTTCACCACTGTTTGGCTGTCATTGCCAACATTCTCATAAGCATTTGGACACTAAAGGAACAAGCAAGATACAGGCCTAAGAAGAGTATACCTATTATATATGTGAAGATGTAATCACAAAAGATAATTGCATAGTAATAAAAGCTGTCATTTTCTTCATGGTTTTGGTCTGATATATAATACGCTAAGCTAATTATGATATATGTGTTTTGTCACCAGAGTTCTCTTGGGGTCTCTTGCATGATCAGACAAACCATATAATATATTTTTATGTGTATTTATTATGGTTTAGGCCCTTGGGTAGGAAGGGGGTAAATGGAGGAGCTTACACAGAGACAAATCCTCTTGCACCACAGCTCAGAGCCTGCCCCTTCAGATGCTCCCACAGCCTGCCCCTAGTCTCCGTTAACTTTTGCCCATGCCTCTTGGGCCCGCAGTCTCATCCCAGGTTGGTAAATGCCCCTTTTTGCGGCTACGCGGGTGAGACACTGGGCCATCTTTCTCTCCACACCTGCCACTGCGCAATTTTTTTTTTTTTTTCTGCTTGTGGCTTCCATCCCAGGATGGCGCCACAAGCCCCTCCTTCAGCGGCTCACTCTGCTTAGTCCATTCTCTGCAGCAGGCCCCACCCCTTGGAGGAACCAGAGCCCCTGGGGAACACACTCCACCCCTTTCTTCTGCTTTTACAATCTTTCTGCCAATCTTCCGCTAAGATCTCTGAGCCTTGGCAAAGGTGACAGGTGTAGGGCAATCTCTCGTATCATGGTGAGATAGTGACTTCTTGGGCCTCCCCATTATTTGTCTTTAAGCCATGGCCATTGATCTATCTCAGTGGTGTTTCTTCTACTATAAAGACAAATGGAAGGAAATAGCCACATTTAAACAAACATGAATGCAAATACAAATGCCTAGAAGATATCCCAGTAGGTGTACTATATTCATTATACAGTATACTTGTGATGGCTTCTCCACTAGGGCCTGTAACCTTTCTCAACACAAGGCGTTGGCCTGGTCTATAGCATTAGATGTGTGTGTTCCACCCCCAGGAGCAGGCCTTATCCAATTAGAAATCTGTCAGTTGTAGTATGTTGGTTGAGCCATTATTGCACTTGTAGGTATTGCTTGGCATGTCCATTGTGTGCAGCATGCGGGGTCCATTTTTGAGTAGAATCATAGGGGATCCTTTCTTCCCCAACCATCTGCATAGCACCTTCTGGCAAAATGAACGTCATCCATCCAGTGGCATAGAGTTTTTTGGCTTAGTCTCGGTTCCATCTCTTCTTCTCCCGTGCTCACAACATGCAGTGTCTTCAGCAATATGGACTTACCAACTTTTCAAGTGTACAACTGACATTAATGGCAATAGCCTTGGTGAATTGGAGGACCTCTAGGATCTCTCTGACCAACAGCTCATAGGGGGCCACCAACCCCTAGCACTGTAGATTTTCTTAGCAGTTGTATAGTTTGGGAGTCTCTGTCTTTATCTTACCCAACCATAAAACTCCCAAGAATCTTATAGCTATAGCTGGCCTTTGCTTCTTCAGGTATCTTTCAAATGGGTTTCACATCTGTAAAACTTTTAAAGGAAGGTTAACATATATTAAATCAATCATAGATAAGGTTTCACAAAGCATGGAAAGGTTTTGTCCATTTGTATTAACTGTTTTCTCCATAGATCCTTGTTAGGTACCAGCATGGGTATGAGGCATTAATTTGGTTAGCTCTTTACCATTTTTAGTTATCCCTTTGGAGTCATTTCACACTTGGGGGATTTTACATGGAGTCTCTTTGTATTCTTTTATTTTTGATACACTTACAGGTGTTGGCTCCAGTTGCCTGACCCTGCACTGGGCTAAAGAGGCAGGGGGCTTCTCCTTTCCCCACTGCACTTGTTGGTTCCCTGAGTCAGGGAGGCCCTGGGTCTGCCTCCTGACTGTAGCCATATCTGTTATCTTCCCATTGACCACACCAGGTTGCTGGGGGAGAACATGGCGGGAAAACCTGCTTCCACCCCTAGTATAGCCTTTATCAGAAGAGAAATGCATCTTGTTTAATTCTTAACCACCCCTTGTACCATTTTTATCCTTCGAATGTCCTTTGTAAACTGTTCTTCTGGTTTTAAAACCTTCCAGAAATGCTTTAGTACTGAATTTGGTTTTCTATCAATTTTTTTCTCTGGGGATTTGGGCTTACATAAGTCTTGCCACATTTGTCTTCCAATAACCCAAGCGGACCATTTCTTCTGCCTGGTCTTTTTTATACCTCTTATAGAGTGCTCTGTTATTTTACAAACATGTTTTACATGGTGGTCAGAATCATTTAGATTTGCCAAAGCCTGTCTCACTTTTCAAAGATTTTGTCCCATCAAAGGGCTTAGTAAAACAATTAAATCCCCATACCACTCTCGAGGTCCCAGTTGAATTAACTTTTCCTTTATATCTCTGGTAAACACAGTCTTATCTGGCCCAGTGAACTGGACATCATATACTGCTTTTCTCATAGCTAGTTCTCTCAGTAATGCCTGTCCTTCCTTTATAGACCTCCAGCCCCTGCTAATCATGTTAGTCTCCCTTGGTGACGACCATGTATCTTTAATGCCTTCAACCAGCCATCCCATTAAGGACTGATCCCTCCCTGTAATGGCCTAGGTTGAACAGCCTATATTGCAAGGACAGATGGGTCATTATATAACTCAGCTGTGAAGCTTCTGAAGGACTTGGGCTGATGTCATTTGCTCCCATGTCCCATACTTTCACAAGCCATGAGGCCAGGGGCTCTCTGCTTGCTTGTAAGTTTTCCTTAGTTTTAATAGTTCTAGCATGGAATATTTCCTAGCTACAGCACAGTTATCTTTTTTTTTTTTTCTTTTTACTACTATCTGTCTTTTCCTCTGTGTCCTTAGACCTTACACAAGTCAAAGTGTTCCACCTTTTCTCTCTCTCTCTCCAGCTTTGTAACTGGGTCTGCCAGGATGTCCCTAGCCTTTTCAGCTTCCCCTGCCTGGGTCACATCTTTATTACAAAGTGGCTGTGCTCCCTCTCTAGGCACTCCATTTGGGGGTAAAAGTTTTTCTAGGCTCTGAATAACCTTTAACAAATCTTCACATACCCGCAACATATCCCCTCATTTACAACATAGCTGTGGCCGATGCTTCTGTGTGGCCAGCCTCTTTTTAGTTACAGATTTTATATTCCATTTTATAACCCATGTGACTATCCCTAACCTCATTAAGCATATGGGTTTTGATTGGCTTCTCTCCTGGATTTGGGACTCAGAGCCCAGCTGACGCACCACAGAGGCAGTGGGAACAGCACTGCTTTCAGAGACCCACATCCCCAAGGCTGTGGTTCGTTTATCCAGCTGGACTATGCCAATTTTGTCACCAGAGTTCTCTTGGGGTCTCTTGTACAATCAGACAAACCATATAATATATTTTTATGTGTATTTATTATGGTTTATGCCCTCGGGTAGGAAGGGGGTAAAGGGGGGAACTTATACAGAGACAAACCCTCTTGCACTGTAGCTCAGAGCCTGCCCCTTCAGATGCTCCTGTGGCCCACCCATAGTCTCCATTAACTTTCACCCATGCCTCTTGGGCCTGCAGTCTTGTCCCAGGTCGGTAAATGCCCCTTCTCGCATTTTTGCTGGAGACTTCTGTCCCAAGATGGCACCACAAGCCCCTCCTTCAGCAGCTCACTGTGCTCAGTCCATTCTGCACAGCAGACCCCTCCCCTTGGAGGAACCAGAGCCCCTGAGGAACACAATGTGTGTATGTACACAGAGAATATACATATGTGTACATGTATACACACATATTATGTCATTTCTCTGTCCATTTAAAGAGACAATCTATAATAGGTAAAGGATCAGCAGTTAGACTGCCTGAGTCCAAATCCCAATTTTTCTGGTTTCTCTCACTTAAAAAAAACAAAAAAAAAAAAACAAAAAAACATTTTAAATTACTCTCTAGTGTTTTAATAACACCAAGGACACAGGCCATGCATTCCAGCTTTATGACCTGTTAGAATTTTGCTTTACCAACTTAGATATTTTTTTAAAAGGGGCATTGAAGACACAGCTAGTAGGGCCCTGCCTGTCTTCAGGAATCTCCTTCTCTCCCAGTCAGATCATTACCATGTGTATTAGTTACTTTTCTGTTGCTGTGATATAAACACTGTAACTTATAGAAGGAAGAGTTTATTTGTGCTTACACTTCCAGGAACAGTCATGGTGGGGAGGCATGGTGGCAGGAGGTGGCTGGGGCAGAAAGCAGAGCACACACATCTTCAAGTAGGCACAGGAAGCAGAGTGCAACTCAAGATCCCACAAGGCTTAAGAACTGTCTAGCCTGCCCCCAGTGATGTGCTTCCTCCAGCATGGCCACACCTTCTAAGACCTCCCAAAACAGCACCACCAACTGGGGACAAAATGTCAAATACTTGGAGGCTTTGAGGGACATTCTCATTCAAACCACCACACCATGACTTTGGTGTTTATCATTCCTTCAGAGTTTTTATGATTTCCAATGTTTTTCTACATAAATTACATATTGCTTTTTTTGACATTCATGCATATATTATTTTATTTTTTAATCATTTAAAAAAATTTTAATAACTATGTGATTAGAAGCATTTC